CATGGCCTCCCACTCTGCCAAGTCCTCCAAGCTGCCAGCTCTCCCTCTCTGCTCTCCGTCTGGTGGCTTGGGGAGCCTATTTCCCCAAGTCGCTCCACTCTCCACCAGCTCTCCCGCTCTGCTCTCCACACGGCACCTGTGTATGCAAATTAACCCAACATCTTTGTCAGGTTAATTTGTATACTCACTCCTGATTGGCTGGTGAGTGTAGCGGAGGGATGGTCAATTTACATGTTTCTCTTTTATTATATAGGATAGCTTGATCTTATATCTAATACAGCAAATATTCCTAGATATGACCCACATAAACAAAAGTTCTTTGGAGAAACAAGTTTTTTGAGGTCCTCAATAATTTTTAAGAGTATAAAGGGGTCTTGAGACCAAAAGATTTGAAAACTGCCAGCTCAGGACCTAGAACTTGTAAATTGTGGGAGCCAGTGCTCAAACCCCAGTCAGCCTGACTCCAAAGCCCTTGGTCTTACCCTGAATTGCTCCATTTTGTTTAGATTTGTTGTTTTGAGGTGCTAAATTTCCAAGAACCCATTTAAAATAATAAGTGATGGTGAAATGGATGAAGCTATGTTTCAGTAACAAACAACTTGAAATTTCAGTGGCTTTAAATTGCAAAGGCTTTCCTGGTGAGGCCAAGTCTGCTGCTGGCCCAGGCAAAACTCCAAGCCAGCTGTGGTGCATTGTCAGTGACCTCTAGGCTCAACTTGAGTTCTCCTCCACAGTCTTTGTTGCAGGGGAGGGGCACACTAGTGAGTCAAGCATAAGAAACAATGACACTGTTATCTCTGCTGGGGTTTCACTGCAGGGTGGGAAAGTTGTAATCCTCTGTAGCCCAGAAGAGACAGAAGATATCCCCAACCATTTACTCTTCCTTGGTGCCACCATCCTGAAATACCCCATCATCTGCTCCGAAAAGATGCTCAGCACCTGGAGGCATAGACAAGGTTGAGAACTTAACCTCTGCCCTTCAAGGACTCACAAAATATCTGGAAAGGAAAGATACAACTACAAGTAATATCACCTTACCTTTATATAGCTCTAAACTATTTTCTAAGTTACCACATGAATAATTCTAGAACAAGGTAGTTAGAGAAGTCCAGACAATCAAGCAGCTTCGAGTGTTCTTGGAAAAAAGAAAACCCTGGCTTGGATAATCAAGGATGGTTTCAGAGAGAAGGTGGGATATGAATAGAGGTCATGAAATGAGAGAAGGACCCAAACTGGTAGAAATGGAAATATATAAACACAAAAAGTCAGTGAGGTAAGAGAGAGATTTGCAGAAAGTGGACACACCAATATGACTACAGTTAATCATGTCATAAAATATATTGCTAACACACAAAGATGGCATGGGGATGAGAAGATAGGAAAGCTCTCTGAAGAGGTAAATAGTCAGCCCAAGAGTGGGGCCCTGGCCCTGGTGAGCACTTGGTCCCTGGAAAGAGAGGGGTTCAGTTGATCAGACCCAGGAAAGGAGGTCACTGGCCCTGAGGACTTCTCACTCGCTGGCAAGAGAAATATTAAGCTTAAAGATACAGACATCACTTGTTTTCATTGAAGAAGCTAGAACCAAAATATGACCTATGTCTCTTTTTTTTTCTAAGAAATACATTCTTAGAAATAGTCCCTCAAATTCAACAACAATAAAATAGCTGTGGTGTGATGTTTACACAAATGAAAATACGATTTTCAGAAATAGCATTCTAAGAGCTGTAAGTCTAGCAGATGTTAGTGTTCTCTTGCTTGCAATCAGTTGTCATGTTCTTTGGCTTTTGTGAGTAGGCAAATCCTGTTTTTGTGTTTCTCTGCCTTATAGACTGACATTTACTTTTGGAGGGACATGAGATAAAAGAGAATAAAGAATAAAAACCCAAACATT